TTTGCAGGGCAGATGCTGTTGGTACCCCCATCGGACTGTATCCAGCGTCAGGTGGAGAGCAAGCTGAGAGGAGCAATGGGATCTCCGGCCCCTGCAACCACTACCGTGTTACAAAAAGTCAGAGGACTTACTTGAAGGTGCCCAGGGGATCAGCTGGAAGCAGAGTCTGGTTCAGGGAGCACCTCCGGGCTGCGATATCTTGGCGCCGGATGGCTCCATGACCCACTCCAAAAGGGGGCGAGAACCTGGTGAGGGCTTGGGCTGACGAGGGCAGCACTGCAGGCTGGGGTCCTGGGTGTACCAGGTGGCTTCTTGCAGTGGACACGAGTCATTCTTTGAGCCACTTCACATCTGAGCCCCCTTCCTGTGTTACAGGTATCCCCTAGCTTGGAGACAGGGACTGCCTCCCAGGAAAAGAGCTGAAAAATGCCCCTTTCTGCCTCCCTTTCCTCGCCTTCCTTGCCCCTAGGGCCTGGGCACACTACGTGGCTCCTGCCATCAGACCCATGGGCCTCACCTTGAATTTGAGCGGTCAGTGTGACGCAGCTCGTCCCAGCACGTGATGGTGACAAGGACAGCAGCTACCTCCAGCCCCGTCCCACGTTGGTGACGCTGACTGGCGTCTGCGGCAGGGGCAGTGAGGTGCCTTCCAGGCCTGATCCTCTGGCCTTTCCCAGAGCTCCTGGGAACTCAGCAGTCTCTTTGGCAAATTCCTTTTCTGTGTAGAGTCGCCAGGATCAGTTTCTGTTGCTTAAAACAAGAACCTTGATTGATACAAAATAGGACTCCTGCGTGGAAGGAGCGAGAAGCCCAGGGGAAACGGGGGCGATCTGAGGCTGGATAGTGGCCAGAGGACGGTGAAAATCCTGCTAGCATTAAGGGACAGGATACCGGCAGCCCATGGCATGCCATGGTGAGACACTTAATCCTGCGGTCCCCCAGAACAAAGCGTCCCTCAAAGGCAGGGCTTTGGGGATCTGGTGGCTCCTGACATAGAAGAGTATACAGATTACCCCAAAGTCAGGGGCTGTTGGTCAGAGTGTTTTGCTAATGGCACCACACAGCTTGAAGGAAAGAAAGACAAGCTCAGGGGCGCCTGGGTGGCTCAGTCATTAAGCGTCTGCCTTCGGCTCAGGTCATGATCCCAGGGTCCCGGGATCGAGCCCCGCATCGGGCTCCCTGCTCCGAGGGGAGCCTGCTTCTCCCTCTCCCTCTCCCTCTGCCTGCCGCGCTGCCTACTTGTGCTCTCTCTCTCTCTGTCAAATAATAAAAAAAAAATCTTAAGGAAAAAAAAAAGACAAGCTCAGAGCCCAAATTCTCTGCTCAAGGCATGGTTAGAAAACCAGGGAATTTTTATATCTTGCAGCTACAAGGATGAGAGAGTGAGAAAACCAATCTTTTTTTTTTAAAGATTTTATTTATTTGAGAGAGAGAGAGAGCGAGAGAGCACAAGACGGGGGAGTGGGAGAGGGAGGAGCAGACTCCCCGCTGAGCAGGGAGCCCGATGTGGGGCTTGATTCCTGGACCCTGGGATCATGACCTGAGCTGAAGGCAGACGCTTAACCAACTGAGCCACCCAGGCGCCCGAGAAAACCAATCTTAACAGCTTGATCAATGGCTAGGAACTGACACCATCAGGTGGCCTCATACCCTTGCCTGGTCTCTTACTGGGAAAGAATGGAGAGTGGAGGGCAGAGGCCATCAGAACGGGGCTCTTTGGGAAGGTGGAAGACTTAGGTGCTCCCCCGCCCCCAGCCTCCCTTGCCAGCAGCAGCTACCTCTTGATCTCTTGATCGTTCTGAACACCCTGGAGGCAGGAACTTGCTGGCTACTTGCCAAACCCATACCCCTTCCCTGGGTGCATATCTAGGTGGAGCTTCTTGCCCTCCCTCACGGTTAGTGGGCTACGGGGCTGAGGGGCGGCCACCAGCTAGCATTTCCTTAAACAATACACCCCCTAATGACTTGCAGTGAAGGAGTCCCCTTGTGAGCTCTCTCCCACCACCCCTTGTTTTCTCTGGACGGAAATAACAAGTCAGACCCTTGCAGGCCCCAGGGAGCTGATGACTTCAAATCCAGAAGGAGGATATTGAATCACCAAAAGAACTGAGGGATTTTGCTAATTTATATTGGCAAAAACCTGGCAAAGTGATCAGGGGACGGATTCTGAGGTTGGAGGATGGGGGTAGGAAGAATGTGAAATGGGGTTGAATGTATTGATACTTCGGATTCCGTGGGGCCAGTCTGAGTAGCTGGGATGGTTCTGATTGTTTGCTCAGATGGTTGCTTGAAACTTGGACTTAATTGTGGCCGCATAACCTAAGCTAATAGTGAAGAAGAAGAAAAATGAGCCTAAGACTTAGCATTTACTACCCACCAGGCACAGTTTTAAGCACTTAATACTTATTTCACAAATTTACTTAGCAAGTAAGGTTTAGATGGTGTTCTGTGGATGAAGGAATCGAAAAAATTAGGGCATGAGCTCAACTGAGCTGATGTTCATCCATGTTTACTGGTTTCGGGCTCTGGTCCAGACACTTTAGTGTACCAACTCAGTTCATGATTCTCATTTTTAAAAAATGTTTTAAAGAAATTTGTGTATTTATTTGAGAGAGAGCGAGAGCAGAAGCGGGGGGAGGGGCAGAGGGACAGGGAGAAGCAGGCTCCCCGCTGAGCAGGGAGCCCCGACGTGGGGCTCAATGTGGGGCTCGATCCCAGGACCCTGAGGTCTTGACCTGAGTCAAGGGCAGGTGCTTTAACCCGGTGAACCACCCAGGGACCCCAATTATCCTCATTTTACAGGAGAACGTGAGGCAGAGAGATGTCTTAGGGCGACCTGGGACTGAGGGGTTTCCCAGCATGTAGAACATGGAGTGCTAAGACCCAGACAGTTCCAGGCAGACTGGGGTGACTGGTCTCCTTGTTAAGTAACTTGCCCAAAGGAACGTGGTAAGTGGCAGAACCTGTCCTGAAATTCAGGTGTTCTGACTTGAGGCTCAAACTCTCCACCTCTGCCGGTGGTTCTTGTGTCTGAAGATCCTGCGTCTCAAGTAGCTGGAGATCTTGTTTGAAAAAACCAAAACCCAAGCCCTGGCCTCACCCTCCCCATTCAATCCGTTGGGGGTGGCCGAGAATTTGCTTTTCTACCAAGTTCCCAGGTGATGCCGGTGCTGCCCGGCTGCAAACGGACTTGGAGAATCACCGCATTCGGCCACCTCGCCTCCAGACGAGAAGGCTGGGGTGGACTTCTCAGGTAGGACACGGTCACTGCCACCTCACTCACAAAGCCCGAGATGGCATTGAGAAACACGTGGGTGAGGGAAAGGCCTCCGTGCCAGGACGACTGACGGGGGAGGCTGCGTGCAGCGGGATGCGAAGCTGGTGTCCGGGCTCAGAGGGGCACGGGATTGCCAGCAGTAGTTCTCAAGGCCAAGGTGGGGTTGCCCCGGAGGGGACTCCAGTACCCCAGTACCTGGCAGCCGTGGCGCGAGTGTCTACCTGGCCTGACTTTGCAGCAGAATTTGGGGCCTGGCTCTCTGACTCTCCCCAGGATCCTGTGACCAGCCCCCCCCCTTTTTTTTTAATTGAGGTGAAATTCGCATAACATGGAGGTAACCCATTTGGTGGCATTGAGTACATTCACCGTGTTGTGAGACCACCACCGCTAAGTTCCAAAACATTTTGGTTCCAAAATAAAACCCAGACCCATTGAGCAGTTACTCCCCGTTCTCCTGCCGTCCCCTGGCAAACACCAGCATGTGTTTTGTTTCTGTGGGTTTACCTATTCTGAGTATTTCATCTGAATGGAATCGTACCATATGTGACCCCTTGTGACTAGCTTCTTTCACTTAAAATAACATTTTCAAGGTTCATCCACCTTGGGAGCCTGTATCCGTTCTTCGTTCCTTTTAATGGCTGAATAATATTCTGTGGCACGTCCATTCATCCACTGGTGGGCATTTGGCTGGTTTCCACCTTTTTGCTGTTGGGAATGATGCTGCTGTGAACTTTGTGTGTAAGGACTTGAGTATTTGTTCTCAGTTCTCTCGGGTATAAACCTAGGAGCGGAATTGCTGGGTAACATGGTAGCTGCACTGAACTCTTTGAGGACTCAGCAGACTGTTTTCCAGAGTGGCTGCACCATTTCAAGCTCCCACCAGCAGCCCATAAGGGTTCTAGCTGGTCCAAGTCCTCGTCAACATTGTTATTCTCTGTTTCTCTGATAACAGCTGTCCTAGTGTGTGTGAAGTGGTGTCTCAGTGTGGTTTCGATGTGGATTTCTTAATGACTAGTGATTTTGTGCTTGTTGGCCATTCGTATAGCTCCTTTGGAGAACTGCCTTTGCTCATTTTAAAGTCATTGTTTTTGATAAATTCCTTTTCTGCTGATAAATTCCTTTTCTGCCATGGTTAGTCAGAGCTGTTTCTATGTTTCTCCTGGTTGCAACCACGATAAAAATTGCGGCTGCTACACTTGTCCCCGTTCCACGGTCCCGGGCCACACTCGCACCTCCAACCAGCAAAGCCTCTCCACACATCACAATGTGCAAATGGGCCAGGGTGCTTCCCAGACCCTGATGAGGGCACCTCCCAGCGCTCACCTGCCCACAAGGCCCCTCTCACCACTGTAGGGAGCGGAGGGAGCCAGGGCCACGACACCCCTCCCGTTCAGACAATCACTAGGAAAGCAGGAGGAACACGCAGGAGCCCGCATACTGTCTACAGGGAAAGGCTGCCAGCAGAAGCACAAAGGCCACAGAGCCAGTGGTGAGAGGAGCTGGAGCAGGAAGTTAGGGAGGCAAACAAAGCTTCTAAATCTGTGCATCACTCAGGGGCTAAGACTGGAAAGCTTCCAGAAGGTGGCCTGGGTCACGTGGGTGGGCAGGGAAGGGGTGGGTAGCGGGCAGCCAGCTGTGAAGACCCTCAGGCATCCTCTGGTCTTCCCAGGATCATTCTGGTCGGCTGATTCCCCTTCAAAACAAGCAGTCGCAAGTCCGGCTGATTCATAACTTAGTTTAATCCTTTGTGGGGTGCACCCTGGGCAGTGAGGAACCTCCATCTGCCCCAGAGGGTCCGGCGACCATGGAGGAGAGTGGTCTCTTCTGGCTGCTGGCCCTGCCTCCTGTTTGGGCGCCTGACACCCACCTTCCCAATCAACAGCAGGCTGAGGGGCCCCGGCTCCCCTCCCCCTATGGCAGACTCCCTCTGGGCCTGACTTGTACCCCCTGCCTCCCTTCCTGCCAGGTCTCTCTGAGACGTCTGTGGATGTTGGCTTGCAGTCCTGGCCTGGCCCTTGTTCCAGACAGGTGGGCAGCTGGGCGAGCGCGGCTGCGCATCCGGGTGCTGGCAGGGGGTCACAGCCAAGTCTCAGGGTCCCGGGTCCCACCGGGAAATGTGCTCCTCAGCTGGAAAGGAAGCCGGACAGAACAAGGGTCAGTGGCAGCCTGGCAGTCCTAGGATGGGGACCTTTCTGCAGTTGGTCCTGAAATGGCTATGCTCCCACGTGGAGCTCCAGACCTTTCCAGCAGGTGCCGCTGGGGGCGGGTTCTGGGCCACGTTTCCCCTCTGTTCCCTGCCACAGTTCACCGGGCTCTAGGGAATCAGGGAGCACTGGTGAACCCAACAGGTCCCTAAGTAGCAGCTTTGGTGACAGGGGGAGAGGGACCATGGAGAAATTCCTGGCCAGGCTGTTTTTCCAGTCCGCCGCGTGGACATGCTTCGTGAGGCTGGGCTTCTTTCTCTCTTTTCCCCGGGCCTCAGGGGCCCGAAGGCAGCTCAGAGCGCCGAGCAGGACTTCCCCGGCGGCCCTGCATGCTCAGACACTTTGCGGGTCTGTGACCTGGACATCCCAGCCCCTGGAGCGAGCCAGCAGGGACCAGAAGAGGGGAGCTGTGAGGGGGCCCTCACCAAACTGGCAGATGTAACGGTTTCGGGTTTTGCAGCGCTGGTCGTTCCAGTTGAAGGCAGCGGACGCCTGTAACTCCACACAGTTGCCAAACCTGCCAGGCCGAGATGCTGGGTGCTCAGCGTGGGGCAATGAAAGTAGGCTTCCATCTTCCACGCCAGCAGGCCCCCCTGTGTCTAAGAGCCCCGTCCCACAGATGGGGCCTCCAGGAGCCAGACCCACCCCCCAGCTCCCATGCCTGCTCCCCAGTCCTCAGCCGCTCTTCTCAGGAAGAGGGATGGAGGGACCGCTGAGGGGACAGTGGATGAAGCCTTCTGGAGTTCCCTCTCCTCTGTGTGAGCCTGTGGAGGCCGGGGTGTGCCTCAGCTCAGCACCGTGCCGCACCCAGCCGTGCCCGGACTTCCTGGGCACCGGGGGAGGCCCAGGCCCTCAGGGGACTCAGCCAGGCAGCGGGCTGGGTGGAGGTTCTTCAGTGGCATCTGAAGGCTCAGCCAAGGGCCCAGGTGAGAGAGGGAGCCCAGGGGAGGGAGGGCACCCCAGACTCACCCCTGGTTGTCAGGCTGCCCAAAAGCAAAACTGGTGAAGGATTGGTGCTCCCCCGTGGTCCAGCGGAAGGAGTCCTTGGTGGTCTTGTAGGTGAGCCCTGGGCCATGGCAACTAAGGTTGGTCCACCACCCAGGGCCCCACTCAGAGCCCAGGTTCCCTGAGAGGAGCGCCCTGAGCTTGGAGCCTGCTGCCTAATGCCCTTTCGGCTGCCAGCCCTTAACCCCCTTCCTAGCTCTTCCAGCCCCTGGTGACTCTCCCTCTCCCTCCCTTCCGTGCTCTCCCCAGGGAAGGAGATTGCCAGTCCCCTTCTGGGCCCCCAGCCCCCACCGCACCCTTACTGTCTGCTGGTGGGTTTTCACTGCCCAGATTCCTGCACCCCCAACCAGCCAAGCACTCACCGATCCAGAAGTTCCTGGTCTCAAAGTCGCTGTCAGGCACCTCGTTGGTGGTCTCCAGGCGGCCCAGGTAGAAGGCGAGGATGTCCTGCACTTTCTGGCTCTCGATCTGCGCTAGCACCCCGCCCTTTCCCTGTAACCCCCACTCCAGGTCACAGTGGCAGGGCCCCAGAGCTCAGGCCAGCCCGTCCTGCCCATCCCGCCACAGCCAGGGATGTCCTCTCCCCCACCCCACAGCCTCCTGCTTCGTAACATCCCCTCCCTGCATCTTCTCTCTCTGGGCCTGGGGTCCCTGCCCTGGGGAGGTTTTTGTTTCATGTGTTCAGTGTCCTGAATACATTGGAATCGGTTGCCAACATTAATACATCGAGAGATCCGAGTGAAAATCTGAATTTCTGATTCTCTTGAAAAATCCCAAGTTCTGGCCTCCCTGAACTCAGCTACCTGCCTGGCAGCCAGCAGCTAGAGCTGAATTAGGACGGCTCCTTAGAGGGGGGGGTTGGGCGGGGCCTCCCCCCCTGAGTCCCTCAGCTCATTCAGTGACCTCCTGGCTTCCATGGGCCTCTGAGTTTGTGACCCCTGCTTTAGAGTAATGACCAGAGTCAGGGCAGGAGAAATCGAAGGAACCGTCTCTTAGTCCGAGGTCCCTCCATGAAGACCCTTGCTTGAGACCCTGGGGGTCCCTGGGAAGGCAGGGGTCCACCGTCACCTGGCATTTCATCTTGGCTCCATAGTAGGTGTCTGCCTCCGAAGACACCAGGAAGCAGTCTCCGTCGATCCTCAGGTCACAAGTGTGGAAGGGAAAGTGCACCTTGGCTGGGGACAGGGGAGCCTGACTATGCGTGGGGGGGACCTCAGACCCATCACGCCTTCCACCCTGCCAGGGAGCCAAGCTCAAGAAGCCCCTTCTTCTGGCCACCCTCTCCAAGCTGGAGGGTGGGTGGGAGTTGGTGGCATGCTGGGGAATGTGTAACATCCAGCTTGCTCTCTCGTAACAACAAAAACAAAAAATATTTGTGGCATTTGCCAATTTCTGTGGTGTGAATACCCCCACCGTGGCTGGTTTCAAGTTGCCAAACATGATGGGACTGAACAGGGAGTCAGGAAGAGATGTGGCCCGTGGGCTCCCGTGTGCCGGTCTGAGCCGGATGCAGCACCCTGGTGAGGGGCTCCAAGGGGGTGGCCTGGCTCATCATCGGGGGACCTCAGGGCAGGACTCACTGGCACACTGGGCTCCCCCATAGCCGACATCACAGACGCAGGAACACTCCTCCTCCCGGAACCGGCCATGCACGCACCGCACGCTGCACCGCACTGCCCGGGGTGGGGGTGGGGGGAGAGGACGGAGCTCAGCCCGCAGCCCCCGGACCCCGTGCTGCCCCTCACAGGCCTCGGAGTGTGGGGAATGGCCACCCGTGACAAGAAAGACCCTCAAGGATGGAACCCCAGCGGGGCTTCCAACTGCTGCTATGCTTGGTGTCCGATTTGATCTCCATCATAGAAGAAAATTGGGGTTTGGGGGGATGACCTGCCTGTGGTCACAGAGCTGGGAGGGGGAGAGCGGGACCAGAGTCTACTTCTAGATCCTGATAATGTGCTCCTCCTGCCATCCCAGGGCCTAAGGGCCAAACCTGATTCCACTTTGAATCCCCTACACGGCTCAGGGTCCGGCAGGTGCTCAGGCTGGTGGTTGAATGACTATATGCAGTGTTCAGATCAGCAAGTACCTGGTCAGTAGCCACCCACTCCCTCAGGACTCTCTCCACACACTCTCAGCAGGTGCCACACGGCCCCTGGACACACCACGCTAGCATGTGTGTCCCTCCTCAGCCCTGCGGCTGCCTGCCTGGACGCTGGCCCGGGCTTCACTCACGGGGCCCCCGGGCAGTTGTGACCTGGGGCTCCGGGGGCTCCTCACCTTGGCAGTATCTGCCTGTGTAGCCGGGGGGACAATGGCAGTGGCAGGTGCTGATGTTGAGATGGCCACGGTTCCGGCAGCTCATGCGACATGGGTTTCTGGGGACCTCTGGTCAGACGAGGGTGAACTCTGAGAGGGGGCCCTCCTTCAGGCAGGCCAGGCGGCTGCCTCCCCCGGTGCCAAGGGCCAGGGCTTCGAGGACAGTCCCAGTGGATGCTGCCACCCTCCACGAGGCTCCCCACATCGAGCTGTCTTGTACCCCCTGCCCCAGCAGGAGGCAGGCAGGGTGGGGCGCTTACCACAGAGCCCCCCTGCATGGTCCCAGGCTTTGAAGCAGCCGGAGACACTGGCCGTGCAGAGCGAACACCAGGAGCCCTTCTTATAGGGGACGATTGTCTTCCCGTTTACCTCCCAGTTGCCTCTGTGAGAGCAAGCACCAGAGGGCTGCAAGGGCAGGGGTGGGCCTTGCTGTCTGCCCCACCGGCCCCTTCAGCTCCTTCTGGCCCACCCAGGGAGTCAGGGAGCTGGGGGAGCTGGGGGAGCTGGGGGAGCTGGGGAGATGTCCTAGGAAAGTACAGATGGCCTCCAAACTAATATGAATACTCCGTTCTTCCAGCGGGCAAAGCAGAATGGTGCTGCCAAGGAGGGGGCCACATCCGGCTTAGCTGGAATCTCGGGGGCTGCCCACTTCCACACCGTCTCCCTTTCCTCCTTCCCTCTCCCCGTGAGGGTGCAGACCCAGGGGTGAAGGCCTTTGAGGGGGTGGCTGAGCGTTCTAGCCTGGGTGAAAGTATCCCCCAGCCCACAGCCCAGCGGTGGACGGCAGTGTGCTGCCGTGGTGGGGGCTCACCCGGGAGAGTAGGCGCAGACGAAGGCTTCCATCTCTGCCTGGGCCCCAGAGCACCGATGCCGCCCACAGCCCAGCTGGCTCGACGTGGCCCACACGAGCTGAGGAGACACGGTGGCTCAGAAACCCTATCACGGGCCCCCCCCACTCCCAGTCTGGGGGCCGTCAACACTGATGATGCTTGCCTGGGGAGGGGAGACACAGCCTCTGCCCCAAACGAGGCAGACAGAGCTCCCTCGGGACCTCAGGAGCAGTGCTGTGCTGGGCAGAGCTATGAGGACAGGCAGGGATAGCTCAGGAAGGCTTTCTGGGTGGGGGGGCGGAGAGGTTTGGATCAGCAGATACCTGAAGGAAGGAGAGAACTGTGGATGGGGGGGAGAGTGGCAAAAGAAAGTCTTGGACCTCAAAGGCCTTGCGACAGATCGCATACGTGGCTACAACACTTCCCTCCTCCCTACAGCCCACTCTTAAACGTGCCTTTGCATTTCTTTGCAATAAGAGGAGGACTCTCTTTTCCAACCTTGAATCATGCTGGCCCTGTGGCTTGCAGTGGCCAACAGAATGCAGCAGAAGTGATATGGAGCTGGGGGCTCCAGCGTGGCTCAGTCGGTTAAGCGTCCGACTCTCGGTTTCGGCTCAGGTCATGATCTCAAGGTTGTGAGATCGAGCCCTGTGTCAGGCTCCAGGCTCAGGGCAGAGTCCGCTTGGGATTCTCTGGTTCTCCTTCTGCCCCTCCCACAGCTTTGTGTGTGTGTGTGTGCGCGCGTGGGTGTGTGCTCTCTCTCTCAAATAAATAAATAAAATAAAGTCATTTTAAAAAAATGATATTGAGCTGGTTTTGAACCTAGGCCTGGAGACCCCACAGGCAGAGGTGAGCCAGCTGAGGTGAGCCCACTAGACAGCCCACTCCCAGCCCACACAGTGGCTGACCACACTCGCTCATGGGCCCAGCAAAGACCAGAAGAACCTCCCCACTGGACCCAGCCCAAATTGCCAACCTACAGAATCAGAGGATGCTAAACTTTGGGGTAGTGTGTCATGCAACAAAAGCTAACAGGTACAGGTCTCTGACAGTATTCAACACTTGGACTGAAAATCTTAAAATCAGGGACAGCTTGGAAACAGCATAGTCAATACAGGGGAATGGTTAGGCGAACTCCTGCAGCGCTCAAAAGGACAGCTGTGAAGTAGGGAGACACGGACATACGTACTCAGTCATTGGAGAACATACATTCTCTTTAGGAATGCATGCAACTTTTGCAAACATTGACCCCTCACTTAACCACAAAGAAAGATTCAAGAAAAACCAAAGGAACAATATCCCATGGGCTGCATTCTATAAATTCAATGCAATAAAATCTCAAGCAAATAACTCAGAAGTAAGGAAAGGTTGGGGCGCCTGGGTGGCTCAGTTGGTTAAGCATCTGACTCTTAATTTCATCTCAGGTCATGATCTCAGGGTCTTGGGATCAAGCCCCATGTCAGGCTCCGAACTCAGCAGGGAGTCTGCTGGAGAATTTCTCTCTCCCTCTGCCCCTCCCCCTACCCCCCCAAATAATAATTTAAAAAAAGAAGTAAAGGGGAACCTGGGTGGCTCAGTCAGTTAAGCATTTGCCTTAGGCTCAGGTCATGATCCCAGGGTCCTGGGATCGAATATAAAAAAATAATAGAGTCAACTGAATAAAGTAAAAGAAAGTAAATAATGGGGGCACCCCGTTAAAATACATAAACTTAAAAAAGTAAGTAAATAATAAAGATAAGAGCAGAAATTTTAAAAAAAGAAAAAGGATAAAAACAAACAAAAGCTGATTTGTTAAAATAGATACATCTCTGGGAAGACTGGTAAAGAATGAAAGAGAGAAGGTGCAAATAAACAAAGCTGATAATTTTAAAAAGACCTAGCTACAGACACAGGAAATTTTTTTTTTAGATTTTATTTATTTATTTGTCCGAGAGAGAGCAAGAGAGCGAGCAAGATCACACAAGCAGGGGGAGCGGCAGGCAGAGGGAGAAGCAGGCTCCTAGCTGAGCAGGGAGCCCGATGCAGAACTCGATCCCAGGACCCTGGGATCATGACCTGAGCCAAAGGCAGATGCTTAACCCACTGAGTCACCCAGGTGTCCCGGGAAATATTTTTTTAAATCCCTGTTTAATCCTAGTTTTTTAAAAAAAATTTTATTTATTTATTTATTTATTTGAGAGAGAGAGAGAGAGAGAGTAAGCAGGGGGAAGAGCAGAGGGAGAGGAAAAATCCCAAGCAGACCCTGTGCTGAGCCCAGAACTCAACCCGGGACTCTATCTCACAACCCCGAGATCATGACCTGAGCCAAAACCAAGAATCGGACGCTTAACTGACGTTCTGCTCTTATTTTTATTATTTACTTTCTGTTTTTTAAATTTTATTTATTTTTCTTAGTAATCTGTACACCCAACATGGGGCTCGAACTCATGACCATGAGATCAAGAGTCACATGCTCCACTGTCTAAGTGAACCAGGCACCCCCATTATTTACTTTCTCCTACTTTATTCAGTTTACTCTATTATTTTTTTATATTCTTTGTTTTTATTTTTTAAAGATTTATATTTATTTATTTGAGAGAGGGAGAGCAACAGAGGTAGCGAGAGAGAGTATGAGCAGGGAGGAGAGGGAGAAGCAGGCTCCCCACCAAGCAGGGAGCCCGACGCGGGGCTCGATCCCAGGACCCCGGGGTCATGACCCGAGCCGAAAGCAGACGCTTAACCGACTGAGCCACCCAGGCGCCCCTAGTTGCTGGTTTTTTCTTAAGAGATGAGAACAAATAAAGTTAAACATTTTCTAAATGTAGGTGGTGGGTAAAAGGGAGTCCATTACTAGATTTACGTTTGAAATAGTTCATACTTAGAGTTGAAAAAAGGAAAAGTCTACAAATCGTTGGAAGAGTAGCCACCAATGTGAAGACGGCCCGTCGCCCTTCTGAGCCGACCCTGGGGGCCCGGGGGCTGGCCCACAGCCTCACCTGAGTGTAGTGGGCGCAGGTGGTGTTGCGGGCACACTCGGCTGCCACGTGGCTGTACCAACCCCCCTCTGCGAACCACAGGCCCACCACGCCGACGAAAGACGCCGAGCCCGCGGGCAGCAGCTGCACGTTCCAGCCCACCTGCTGCAGGGCCCGAGGTGCTGACGCGGGCTTCCGGGCTGGGGCGCCACAGACGGCCGCCCTGGCCTGAGCCCATCGGGCCAGGCTGTCACTCCAGTCCTGGGGGCCGCACAGATAGAGATGTCAGCGGGGACCTTTGGGCCGTGCCTAGTGATCCCACTCCCTCCCCCACCCCCGGGTGCGGGGGTCATGCCGAGAGCACTGGACGGGGAGTCTTGTTTCGCCCACTTCACCCCGGGGCCAGGGAAGGTCAGACCGGACCTGCAAGGAGCTCTCGGAGATGTGTTGGTAAAGGCACCAGTGAAGTCTGGGCACCTGACCCGGAGCCTGGCTCAGGCGGGACTGAGAGCTTCCGTCCTCCTGACCCCAGTGTGGGCACCCTTCGGCCCTGCCCTAGGCACCACCCCAGAGGGGGATGGGTGTTCCTGAGCTGTGCCAGCCTGGGCAATGGGATGGGCTTCTGTGGTAGATTTTTCTGTCTGGTAATGTGAGCCCGGGGCAGGGCCCAAGCCATTCAAACTGGTTTTGTGTTTGCCGTTAGGTACAACTGGCTCTAGCCATTGTCAGGAAGGCTTGGTTGCTTCCATCTGGCTTTTTGTTGATGCAAAAGGGCCTTAGCAGCCAGGCTGCTTTGTCTTGTCCTCCCCACCTACCTGGCCTTGCGTGGGGTGCCAACGGGGAAGCAGGACCAGAGAGGCTCCTGGCCTCAGGGCTTTGGCCCCAGCCAGCACTATTCTCTGGAGTGGCCCTGATCTTCTCTCCCCACCCACACACCAGCAGACTTGCCCTTATACCCCCACGGCCACCCAGTCGTCCCCCTCCTTAAATCAGGGGCTCAGCAATCAAGAAGACTTGGGTCACCCCATCACCATGCCCTGGGCCAGCCCAGCCACCTCACCCCAGTTGTGTGGCCTCTAGCAGTCCCCTAATCTCCATGAGACTCAGCATCCTCATCTGTGAAATGGGGACAGTAAGGTACCTGGAGGGTAAGATTGTCGTGGAGATTCAAAGGGTACAGGGGGCAGAGTGCTGTGCTCATGGCCTGACCCACCGTGGGCTGGATAGCTGTTCTGATTTTACCTCTAATGAGGACTGGAGCTGGAGTAGTGGGGACTGCTTGGGGGGCCCCTTGGCAGCCCTGCACCACCCTAAGAGGCTTAGCCTCCACTGGGTAAAAGCCCTAGAGGCCCGCAGAGGTGAGAGAGGCTGAGTGGTGAGGCTCCATTCTCATCTCATCTTTTATGAAATGCTGATTTCTAAGACTTTGGCCAAAGGCGCGTGAAAATCATCGACACCGATGACCCAATGAGCGGGAGCACGTCCACGCCAGGGACTTGACCTGGGAGCATGAGGCATGGGCAATGGGAGCCAGGACCTGGGCCTGAGAAGGGGCAGAACTTCTACAGAGCAGGGAAAGGGGGAGAAGCGACCCCTTCCCGCCAGCCTGCCCCACCCCCACCTCCTGGGAAACTGACCCGAGAGCTCTCAAGGTCACCACCACTGAACCAGCCTGGAGGAGTTTATGGGAGGCAGCCATGGGGAACCCTGCCCACCCCCACACTATCCTGCCCTCACCCCGGGGCCTGTTAGCGTGTGCTGAGGCAGTGTTTCTGGGCCCTTGGATGATACCACCAACTCTGCACGTCCTACCCCAGCCTCCAGAGAAGGAGCAGGGACCTTGGAGGGGCCCCTCCTAGTCACCCAGATAAACCCTGAAGAAGCACTGGGTCCTGGTCACACTCAAGCCCCCTCCCTCAAGCAGGATGCTTCTCCCTCCCAGGCTTCTGCCCCTCTGATCTTGCTGGGACTCCTTTGTGGAGCTTCTCTTTCCTGCGGGCCTTCTTCCATGTTTTCTGGTCTCCAGGGCAACGGGATGGGATGTGAGGAAAGGCCAAAGGACTGCCCTTCTGGGAAGCAGGCCGCTGCGGAGCCCTAGCAACCAGGCATGGTCCCCCCAGTGGGCAGGGTGACTGGCTGCCCCCCTGCCCTGCCCAGGCGGAAGGGCGCCTGTCACCGGCATGGCCTCCTGAGCCCTCTTCAGGGTTGCCCCTCCCGCTACCCCCCGGGCGGGCCTGCCTTGGGGTACTCACCATTCTCTGCATGTTGGCTGCGGGGGGGTGCACCCGGCTGCGCAGACGGTTATGTACGGAGAGGAGCAGGAACGCCTCCTTACTGCTCAGGGCTGGGGCGGGAGACACGGCCAGGCCCCTGTATAGCAGGACCTGGGCTCCCCCCAGGTGACCCTGGCTGATGGGGTGGGGGTCGCCATGGCAAGCTCAGAGGGCAGCCCTGCCCTTAGTGAACAAGAGCTGATGTGGCATGGGGGGATGGGGGGCCTACGGGAGACAGAGAGCTGAGGGGCTGGGAGAGAGGCAGGTGTACAGGGACCCTTGAGCTGGGGCCTGGGCTAACAGGAGAGAGGGGGGGCCACGGGCTGCGTGTGTGGAGGGGGCAGTCCTGGGGCCCCCAGCTACAGACTCGGCTGGTATTCCTCCTTGACCCCCAAGCCTGGGTCCACTCCCCTTCATTCTTCCTGCTCCCCAGTCCCAGCCTCCCCCATCCATCTTGGTTCCCTGGGCTACCAGGTAGCAGGGGCGGGGGGGGGGGCTCCTTAAACCACACTAGCCTGCCCAGAGCTCAGGCCTGAGCACTGGCTTCCAGAAGGCCCCTGGCACCGATCTGCGGTGCTCATAGCTGTTCCGCGTCGTTCCTCACCCAGGGGCCCCTTACCTCCAGGAGTTGGAGCCTGATCCTCCTGCAGCGGGAGTAGCCGCGCCTCTGTCCAGGCCGTGCCAAGGAGGGCCAGGAGCACGGGCAGGAGGCCGGGCCAGTGGCCCCCCAGCCTGGCGGAGGGCTCTGGCCACAGCATGGGCCTGTTGGGCGCTCCGGGTGTGGCCTGGCTCAGCCGTCCAGCTTGCTTCCCAGGCTAGACAGAACTACTCACAATCTCAAGGAGGCAGGCTGGACTGGCAGACAAAAGGGGGAGGCTGATGTGAATAATCGGTGTATCCAAAAAGCCTCCCGTTGACACTGGCATGAAGAGACAGCCAGCTCCAATCCCAGGGCTCCCTCCCTCCTCCAGCCGAGGGCCTGGCCGGCAGCCCTGCCCACAACAACCAACCGAGCAGTGTGCACTGACCCTGTGGCCCCTGCTAATCATTGCAGGATTATTAGAGCCCTTGGGGAGCCCTGGGAGACCCTGCTGATTGGCCCACAGACATTCCAGGGCGGTGGATTAGCAAATGATGGCCGTGCCCTGGCTGGGACAGTGTCCTTCAGGCCCACCGGCAGCTTCTAGGCCCAGGACCAGGCCCAGGCCCAGGCCCAGGCCCGGGGCAGGCAGGCAGGAACTGGGCAAGACCCCAGGGGAGTTCTTCCCTTTCTTGGGAAGCTTATCCCAGCCCCCAGCCATGAATTAAACATAGGCAGATGGTAACCACATACCAGGCAGGTACCACCGGTGGGTGGGGGCCCTGGGGGGTTGGGTTTGTAGGGGAATGGGCTAGGGCTGCACCTGTAGGAGGAAAAGAGTGCCTTAGGACTCTGGGCAGTATCTGTCTGGGCAGTGTGGGGGGCTGGGCCCCAGCCCCAGGGGACCTGCATCCCCCACATGTCTGCAGGCCAGGAGAGGGCCAGGCGAGCAGAGGAGAGCACGTGATTTCCTTGGCTGACTGGAGTCCTGCTGGGAGCAAGTCGGACTCTAGACAATCAGGCAGCACATTGCCGTGATGCTTTGGGGCCTGGCTGAGGCCTACACGATCCGATCCCACCAGAATACAATGAAACTGACCTGCACTGTGGCCCATGATTCTTAAAAAAGATGAGGCTATCCTGCAGGCCATGGCCAAATGCTCACACCCCCCACCCCGCACCTCAGGACAGATCAAAGGTTATTCACCCACCACAAAGGATAGCCTCGGAAAACAACTCCTTCCTCCTTCTGGAGTTTGTGTGACCCCTGACCTCTAGGCCAGCACCCTCTCAGAGCCAGGTGTCACCTACCAGGAAACTGCTGAGATGCAAGTGGGCTTGGCTTTCTGTGGAGAAACACTGATGGAAAGTGGATATTGTCATGGGAATGGGGGAGGGGGCGGGGGCAGGGCCAGGCATAAGGACCCCTAAGCTGGCCTGGGGTTGTGTGTCCCCCCACACAATACCCCAGGGCCTTGGGAGTTTCTTCTCCCTCCAACGGATGGCCAATTTCAGATTCATCCTGCCTGGGTCCTAGCAACACTTAATAACAGTGACCTTTCTCTGCAGAGTTCACAAAGCACGCACGTGGCTTCACCAAATTGTCGCAACGACCCTGGGCATAGGAGAGATGCTGTGCCCATTTTGTAGATGAGGAAGCTGGGCTCGCTGTGTCTAAGGGACTTGCCTCAGGTCGCCAGGCGAACACAGGGTGTGTCCCAGCTAATTCAGGCTTTCTGTCTTCACATTCCTAGACACTGGTGCAAATCTGCTTTCACGTACGTCGTGGCCCTAGGAGTTCTCTATCCCTCTCTCTCTGCCCTTCCCGTTCATGACCTCTCTCTAAAATAAGAAGGAAGAAAGAAATCTTAAAAAAAATAAAAAAGGTAGCTCACACAATTTTGCTGAGCTCCCAGGCACAACCTGGAATAAATTTACATCAAGCCCAGGTCCTTAGTAAACAGGTCATGATAAGCTCAGTTAAAAAGCATTAGCCCTAGCGGCACCTGGGGACTCGAGCCCAGCTTTTGTCATAAGCATCTGCTGAACAGACCCTTTGCTCCTCGAGCTTCATGACTCTCATTCCTTTTGGATCACTCAGTGTTGCTCATCCCGCCACAGTCTCCCACCCCCTAGGTGCCAGGCCATGCAGCGCACCTTGCAAGAGTAAGAAAAGCAGCTGTTGTGCTCTGAAAATTGTGCTCTGAGCCAAGTGCTTTATCCACATTATTTGAGTCTTGCCAAGAGAGAAAGAAAGAAAAGAAAGAAAGAAAGAAAGAAAGGAAGGAAGGAAGGAAGGAAAGGTGTCATTGCCCATTTTACAAGCAAGTAGGTAGAGGCTACGATGAATAATTTTATGTGTCAACATGGCTAGGGCAGGGTGCCCAGAAGTTTGGTCAAGCACGAGTCTGGCTATCCTTGTGAAAGTATTCTCTAGATGTGATTAACACTGAAACCAGTAGACTGATTAAAGCAGATCACCCACTATAACGTGGATGGGCTCATGCATTCACTTCAAGGTCTTAAGAAAAGGACTAAGGTCTCCAGAGGAAAAAGGAAGTATGCCCCCTCGACATCATGAGACCTCGACATCAATGATTCCTGGGGTTCCCACCCTGCCTGCCTGCCCTGCAATTTCAGACTTGCCAGGCACCAAATCCTTAAGATAAATCTCTCTGTATATACACACATCCTATATGGCCCTCTCTCTCGTTCTCTATAGTCTCTCTGGGTGACAACTACAGCGGGGGCTCGGGAAAGGTAACGTCTCGGTGTCATACTCCAAGGGGGAGGCAGTGCGGGCATTCGGACCCAGGCCAGGTCAGCTCCAAAGTCATGTTCTTAACCAAACAGGACAACAGCCCTTCCACCCTGGACTCTGGGGGACTGAGTCAGACGATGCCCCAGATCCAAGTGTCTGAGGTGCCTAACTCCACAGACCCCTCCAGGTGAGGACAGCGGGAGGGAAAGGGCACATCCCTTTTATCAAGGCTGCCCAAAGGAGCCTCTCCTCAGCCCCTCCTGAGTCACGGGGGCCACATGGGGTGTCACCTCTCAGGGGGAGATTTGATTAGTCTGATTTGGGTTTCTAGTTCAACCCGACAACCCGCACTCCAGATGCAGAGCTGGGAGGCCCCGGGAAACTTCATTGGTATGTCACAGCGCCACCTACTGCTCCATTGGAGGGCCAGCTGCAGTAACCGAATGCCCCCTGCTCTCTGAGGCCAGGACCTTATCCCCATTTTACAGATTGGCAAACAGAGCTTTTGCTCGCCACTTTCCCCCATTCGCTCAATCATGTGATAGATGCCAGGCATGATGCCAGATGCTGGGGGTTCAGAGAAGCCAGTCCTCCTCAGAGGGATTGACAGACGAGTAGAGGAAAAAACCAGTAAAGACAGAGGTGGAAAAGAGTAGAGTGGGCACACCAAAGGGAGGCCAGTTGTCGTGGGAAGGAAAGGCTTCACCGAGGAGATGCTGGTGATGGTGGGCTGAGGTTTTGAAATTCTGGAGGCGTCTGCCAGGCTGATGGGAGGGGCCACGGGGGATCATTTGATTCTCAAGTCAGGACTCTTCCCCAAGCACAGAAGGACAGGGGCCGGAAAGGACATCTTAGCGAGCAAAAGATGTGTTTGGCGGAGTGGGACTTGAGAGCAGGGTGTGAGATGGGATCAGTGGCACACGGGGGGCAAACGGGTCAGGATTCGGGCCCCAGCCTCGCACACAGTTGGCCCCAGAGCCACCTGGGGCACCTCTGCCGGTCCCACCATGGAGACCGTGCTCCGCCACGCTAAGGAGTCTGAACACGTCTCCCCAACAACGGGGAGTCCCGAGGAGCTGTTAGGTTAAGCCAGTGAGTAAAATGATCTGACGTGCTTGGGAAAGACAACCCTGCAGAGTGAGGATGGGGTGACACCAGAAGCAGGGACCATCCTTTTAGGGATGATCATCGCAGCAAGGGATGCCAACTCTCTGACCTCCAGCAGCGGGGGTGGGGAACGAGAGGCCAGGAGAGACGAGAGATCTGGGGACACAGACTCGGTTGAGCGGGTGATGAACTAGAGGTACAGAGAGAAGCCAGTGGGGTGACCAGATGACTCCCCGGTTTGGGGCTCGGCTGACGGTTCGTGGACGTGAAATAAAAGGAGACTTGGAAGACAGGATGATGAGGTTGTTCCTGACGTGTTAGCCTGGGGGATTCCCACCTGTAGCTGCTGGAACATTGCTTGGATGAACAGAATAAAGACCAGTGACTCCAAGTTGGCAGGGAGTGGAGAATTCCTCAAGGGGATGAGGCCGTGATGGCATCATTCCTACAGGGCTACACTGTCAGAGACCCCCTACTTGAGCGGCACAAGGCGGCGTACAAACCAGCCCAAGACCTGGTGCCTTCCACCAGCATTTTGTCTCGTGCTTCTGGGCCTGCGGTGACTGCGGTTTGGCTGGGCAGCCGACTTAGGCTGCGGGTCAGTGGGCTTTGCTTCAGGGCGGGGTCCCATCTGTTTCCCGCGTCTGTCGCTCATGCCGCGTGATCCTCCGAGATACGGTGGCTACTCAGGGCACCATCTAATGATGACAGCGGCACCCAGGAGGGCTGATGACCACGCACGGTTCGCCTGAAGGCCTCGGTCGCTCCACCTGCACACGGTGGCGGTTGCCTAGCTTTTAAAGCAAGGTCTCAGCATGGCTGACGCCAACCAACATGACCGGACGAGAGCTATGCTCCAAGCCGGTCATGCGCTGCAAGCTCACGGGGCAGACGAACGAGGAACTGAAAATGTCCAGTGTACCACAGCCAGGGAGCACCTCCCTGTTACCCTGTGTGCTCTTTTCTCGCTCCCTGACCCAGCCTCAAATGGCCTCCTGGCCACCTGCCCGGTGCTATAACGCAGCACCTTTGGGTTCATTTCCAGATCTTCCCCCAAGCTGTGTGATCTTGGAAACGTCACGTTCCTTCTGAGTCTCCATCATCTGCTAAAACCTCACCTCCTGAGACTGTCATAAAGATTACATGGGATGATGTGTAAGAAACACCTTGTCCTGCTCAGGGACCAGCGAAAGTCCTCCCTAACCCCACAGATCTCTCAACAACTACCACGTGTCCTGCGGACTCTTCAACAGGTGGCATCCAGTGGTTTCGAGAAACAAGAGAAGTTGCTGGAAGTCTCTGGAGAAGTACTGATCAGATCTCCAGTCCTGTTGATTCCAATTCACGTGGAGGGGATTGCTTTAGGTGCCCCAGATGATTCTAAGGCACCCCACTGGCGTCTAGCACATGCTCAGCACTTACTTGACTAGTTCACCGGTTTCGTGGGTTAAAGACTCAGGTGTGAGTCCTCGTAACCTTCGGAAGGAGGAAGGGAGGCCCTCTGTCCCCAGGCAGGCCACCGCCGCATGGACGGTGCTGTAGTGTCTGCCCG